TGACACCTCCCTACTTTCAGCAGGTCACTTATCCTGCTTTCCTAATGTGGGAGCCAGCTCCATCCCTGGGACAGCCTGTGTTGGCTGTCTGGATGCTCCCAGGATGGGCGGGATTTGAGCCACCACCCTGTGCTCCAGATGCTGACTCCCCAAAGCCACTCCAGAACCCACCTGTGTTGGCCATCTGGCCCTCTCATGGTGGGCAGGACTCAAGCCCACCACCCTGTGCTTCCCCGGCAGATGCCATATTCCCCAGTCCACTCCAGAACCCACCCTACCTTCATACCTTCAGGCATCCCTTATCCTGCCTTCCTAATGAAGGACCTGGAGCAGGGGAGTGGGGCACAGGAGAGGTGTGAGGCCGAGCACTGGGTTTGGGGATGATTCAGGGGAGGATTCTGATGTGGAGGAGGGGAGGGGTGCAGAGTATAGGAGGGGGTTGTGACTAGGGTTGTAAGTGACTAGTTGACTATCTGATAAGCAAAAGCCGCTTGGGTAGTCACTTTCCCCCCCTTGCTTCCTCTATCAGAGTCAGCAAAGGAGGGGAGCAGGATTCAATGCTGGGAGGAACCCTGGGGGGCAGGAGCTCCCTGTGCTGCTGTCTCTGATACAGAGGAAGCAGCGCAGGGTGGCATCAGCCTCTGTCTTCAGGAGTCCAAGCTCACCACAGAGGCTGCTGCAGGGAGATCGGACCCCCCGCTAACAGGAACTTCTGCAGCAAAGCAGCCTCTGTCTGGGAGCTTGGACTCTCCTGCAAAGAGCCTCTGATAGAGGCAGCAGCGGAGAGGGGGACAGGTGACTGACTACTTGTTTACATTCTTAGCAGCACTGGAAGCAGATTGCTGTGGCTGCTGCTCTGAGCATTGGGCTAGGCACTGAGTAGTAGCCCTGCTCTGTGGAGGGAGGGAAGAGGCTGCTGTTCCTCCCACTGCCCCAGACTGCCCCAGACTGGGACCTGTAAACCTGCCTCAGCAGGGCCTGAACTGTGCCCTGGGAAGTCTCTTCTGTTGGTCCGTGTGGCTGGGCTCCCAGACTCTTCTGTTGCTTTAGGAGGGGAAGTTGCTCAGGCTGCTCCAGATTCGGGATTGGATTTCTCTGTCATACACTGCTGCTCCCTCCATGCAGCACTGGGAGTCAGGCTGAGCCACTGCTGCTCCCCATGGATTGTGTGCAGCGGCACGGAGAGCCCATCCCCAGTGCACTGTTGTGCCTGGCCAGGGGTTGGAGCCAGCTGTGGGCAGCACTAGGCTCTGCCCGCAGCCTACAGATGAGAAGCAAGCCCTGGGCAAAGGGCTGGGCCGGGCAGTGGCACCATCTGTTGCAGTGCAGGGCCTGAGCAGCCTCCTGCAAACTGAGGCATCTCAGCCCATGTGCTGCTTTTCCTGCTCCTCCTGCCCCCAGGTGACTGGTCTGGCAAATCTAGGGGTGGGGATGAGTCTGTGCAGGGGCCTGCTTCTTAGTGTTGTGCTCTGAATGGCACAGTGTCCCTCGGGGTCTGGACAAGGCAGGATAAGAGGCTTGATAAGATGGACTCTCCTGTTAAATGGGACTAGGTTCAGTGAAATATTTTAGATACAGCCTCGTCAAACACTGGAATGGCCAGACATGGTTTTAGGGTGTAAAAGAACCCTTGATCTGTTTCCGTGTCTGCATAAAGCTTCAAAGGAGTTTGCAAATGTGTCCCACATGGGGGTTGTAGAAGGATGGCTACTTTTAAATCTATTATTGAATGTCCAAGGAAGTTAAAACATTCCCTAATGTGTGTCACTCCCTGGACACTTAATAATGGATTTAAAAGTAGCCATCCTTCCACAAAAGAATTGTATCACCCTATTACTGAAGGAGAGAGCTGAATTGGAGTTAATTTAAAATTCAATATTTTACGATTGACTCAGATGTGAAGTTAAACATTGTTATTAATAGCAGGAAAGCTCTGATACTTGTTTTTGGGTCTAATAATATTACTTTGCTATCAAAGGTATTTGTGTCTGAATGTCTGCAGTCCCCCATATGTGTAGATGTTGTGGAAAAGCAGTTAAAACCAGGTGTGGTCGCTGAAGGTAGGGTTGAGGAAGGGAGGCCCCTCCACTTCTGTTGAGGTCCCACCCCCACCACAGGGAGGCGAGGCAGCGTGCCGCGCACACACGCCAACCCCAACATGGCAATGGGAGGAGTACAGGTGGGTGTGCATGCACAGGGAGAGAGGAGGGCAAGGGGACAAGGCCTGAGCAGGAAGGCATGCAAGTGTGTATCTTTCCTGGGCTTGCCTCCTAAGTCGCACTGGGCCACCAGCACAGCCTCTCTGAAGCTGAAGCGCCATTAACAATCATAGAATCATAGAACTGGAAGAGACCTCAGAAGGTCATCAAGTCCAGCCCCCTGTTCTAGGCAGGACCAATCCCAACTAAATCAACCCAATAGACAAGAGCCACCTGGGAAGATTACGGTGGAGACTGCTTCCAGCGGCTCCTGCTGGCCATGCCCACACCAGCGCTGCACCAGCTCCTAGACAGCCCTGCCCAAGATTTTTTCTCTGCAAGTCCCCTACTTAGAGCTCGCAGATCTAGCCCAGGAAAGCAAGCCCTGCTCCAGGGTTACCTATCTGACCCACTCCTGGCACCTTTAGCCTGCAAACCAACCAGCTTGTCAGAGTTAACCAGAATTCCCCCTTTGCATCCTGGGGGCTGTAGTTCCAGTGTGGGTTATCCTGCCCAGGCAGGCAGCGGCTGCAAACTACAACTGCGTGCTGTGTGAGCTGAGCTCTGGCTGGGTGCTTGTTCCTGTCACGGGGTCACCCAGCTGGCCCATGCATGACAGAGGCAAGGAATCTATCAGCAGCATGTGGCAGGGTCCTGCTTATCCTCAGGAAAAGGATGCACAGAGCTTGGCACTATGGGAGTAAGATTGATGCACCATATGCTCCCAGCCTTCCTGGCCCTGGAGCAGTGAGGGGAGCAACACTCCACTCCCAAAATACCTACAGTAGGCATTCGGGGGTAGAGTGTGGGCAGGGCCAGGTTGGCCCTTACCCATCTAAGCCACCAGATGCCCATGATTAAAACATTTGAAACTAAAGGAATTAACAGGTTTTTACCCTACTACCATTATTCCATTCCCTTATCAAGGATTTGTCTCCATAGTATGAAGCTAAAGTTGTGAAATTAAATCTTACAAATTATAGAACCTTAAATCTGAGAGCTTTCAATGGTCACTGTGTTCAGTTTAAATATACTGTTTAAAAAAATAGGCTGAGAGCTGACTTGCAGTGTATCAGTCTGTTCATGGAGAGAAACTGCTGGATCTCCAAGGGCTCTTCAGTCCAGTGAAAAATCATAGAATCATAAGGCTGGAAGAGACCTCAGGAGGTCACCAAGTCCAGGCCCCTGCCCAAAGCAGGTCCAATCCCAACCAAATCAACCCAACCAGGGCTTTGTCAAGCCAAAACATACAAACCCCTAGGGATGGAGATTCTACCACCTCCTTAGGTAACCCATTCCAGTACTTCACCACCCTCCTAGTGAAATACTTTTTCCTAAAATGCAAGAAGCCTGGGTAACAAACAGGAAGAATTGGCGGCCCTGGCCCAGTCCAAGAAATACGATTTAATTAGGATAACAGAGATTTGGTGGGATGATTTGCATGACGGGAATGCTGTCATGGAAGTTAAGGGAATGTGGATTGGATAAATGGACGGTAAGATGGATAGAAAGATGGCTAGAAGGCCGGGCCCAGCGAGTAGTGATCAACGGCTCGATGTCAGGATGGCGGTTGGTTTCTAGTGGAGTGCTCCAAGGTTCAGTTCTGGGATCAGTTTTGTTCAAAATCTTTATTAATGACCTGGGTGAGGGGATGGATTGCACCCTCAGCAAGTTTGTGGATGCCACTAAGTTAGGGGGAGAGGTAGATACGCTGGGAAACGGTCCAGAGAGACTTAGACAAATTGGAGGATTGGGCCACAAGAAATCTGATGAGGTTCAACAAGGACAAGTGCGGAGTCCTGCACGTGGGATGGAAGAATCCCAAGCATTGTTACAGGCTGGGGACCGACTGGCCAAGTAGTAGTTCTTCAGAAAAGGACCTGGGGATTACAGTGGACGAGAAGCTGGATATGAATCAACAGTGTGCCCTTACAGTCAAGAAGGCTAATGGCATATTAGATTGCATTAAGAGGAACATTGCCAGCAGATCTAGAGATGTGATTATTCCCCTTTATTTGGCTGTGGTGTGGCTGCATCTGGAGTATTGTGTCCAGTTCTGTGCCCCCCACTACAAAAAGGATGTGGTCGCATTGGAGAGGGGCCAGCAGAGGGCGACCCGAATGATTAGGGGGCTGGAGCATATGACCTACGAGGAGAGGGTGAGGGATTTGGGTCTATTTAGTCTGCAGAAGAGAAGAGTGAGGGAGGATTCTTCCATCCCAAGTGCAGGACTCTACACTTGTCCTTGTTGAACCTCATCAGATTTCTTGTGGCCCAATCCTCTAATCTGTCGAGGTCACTCTGGACCCTATCCCTGCCCTCAAAGGTTATCTACCTTTCCTCCTAGCTTAGTATCACCCGCAAACTTGCTGAGGGTGAAATCCATCCCCTCATCCAAGTCATAAATAGAGATGTTGAACAAAACTGGTCCAAAAACTAATTCTTGAAGCACTCCGCTAGAAACTGACCGTCAATCTGACATTGAGCCATTAATCACTACTACAAAATGTCTCTGTATGAAAAAAATAACTGAAAGTTGAAGCCAGACAGTTTCAGACTTTGAAGGAAGCACAGATGTTTGATAGAGAAGATGACTAGCTGCTGAATCAAATGATAAAGAAATGGTGGATTCTCCATCTCTTGATGTCTTTGAGCAATACTTGATGACTTTCTAGAAAATATGCTTTGGGGGAAATAAAGGTTTGTCCTGGGCTAACAAGATTAAATACAGATTGTGACACAGATGAGATCAGAATATGTGAAATAATGATCCTGCCTAATCCTGAGAATCCAAAAACTTAGGACCTCACTCTGTAAAGACTCAGCAGGTCTTTTAACTTCAGTCATCTTAGTGGTCCCCATGACTTCATTAAATCTCTCTTCTTGTAGAGGGTTTATTAAGTCTGTCAGTTTAGTCCTGATGAGAGAGTCTAGGTCTATGTTGTAATTAAATGAATGAAGACTAAGGGTTTTAACTGAAGGAGCCTAAATTTAGACACTCCACTCTATGTTCAGACAGGTGAATATGTGGCTTCTTTATTGGAAACATTGGGTGCTCAGACCCAAATCCTATTGTTGCAGATGCAGGAATATAGAAACTCATGCCATATATTGAGATAAATGAGTATGGATTTGGGATCTGACTTGTGTGTGTTGTTTATGGAATATCTAAACTCTAAGGCTGTGTCTACACTGGTCACTTATTCCAGAAAATCAGCCGCTTTTCCGGAATAACTTGCCAACTGTCTACACTGGCCCCTTGAATTTCCGGAAAATCACTGACGTTCTACTGTAAGAAATCAGCTGCTTTTCCAGAAATACTATGCTGCTCCCGTTCGGGCAAAAGTCCTTTTTCCAGAAAACTGTTCCGGAAAAGGGCCAGTGTAGATAGCAAAAATGACGATCGGGGCTTTTTTGCGGAAAAGCACGTCTAGATTGGCCACGGACGCTTTTCCGGAAAAAGTGCTTTTCCAGAAAAGCATCCTGAACCTAAATTTAGACACCTACATTCATGTTCAGGCAGCAGAATAACTGACTTGTTTATCCGAAACTCTGTGCTCAGAACTGAATCTCATTGCTGCAGATGCAGGAATGTTGAAACTCAAGCCAGGCACTGAGAGAAATGAATATGGATATTGAATCTAACTTGTGTGCGCTGTTTATGGACTATCTAGACTCAAGCATTTGCCCAAAATGTCCGAGTCTAGCATGTGAGTCACCAGGGACAGAGTCTGGGCAGAATAGGGGTGTGGAAAGGGTTAAAGCCCCTTTTGAAATGTCTCCAATTATCCTTCTCCCTCTGACAGGTTGCAGAACACCCATGCCTTGCTCCAGCTCAGCCCCTGGCCTGCAGAGCCAGGGAAAGGAAATGGCTGTGGCAGAGCCGGTGAGCTTCGAGGAGGTGGCTGTGTATTTTTCTGAGGAGGAATGGGCCCTGCTGGACCTGGGTCAGAGAGCCCTCTACTGGGATGTGATGCAGGAGAATTATGAGGCTGTGAGCTGGCTGGGTAAGGATTCCTGTCTCCTTGGAAGCTGGCAGGGGAGTGAGCGGGGAGGGCTCTGGAGCAGCTGGGCTGGGTTTGGTTCTGGGTCCCTCAGTGTCCCCCCCCCCCATGTCAGGAGTATCAACCCCAATAATCCTGGCCTGTGTGCGAGAGACTTTCCTCTCCTCTCCATGCTCCCTCCTAAGGAAAGCAGGTTCAGGGACCTGCTCTTGCAATGGTGCTGCTCTTCCCACAGCCAAGGTCTCAATGTGCTTCCCCACCATATTGCCCCTGTTGTGCCTTGGCTGGAAGTGTCAGTGGAAGGGCCCAGGCAGAAATGGCAGGTACCAGAGTTCTGGAGCTGGATCCGGCTGTTGTTAGTGCCTGCAGTGTACCCCTCGTGCTAGCATGCTGAACCTCTGGACAGAGGGTGCAGTTCCTGGAGTCATTTCTTGCCAGTGGATGATCTCTGTGACATGCCGGGGCTGAGGAAGGATGGATGAAGTAGTTCACATTCTGCAAGCATTCTGTGGGAGTAGCTCTGTAGTAGATAAACATGGGCATTCTGTGGGAGTAGCTCTGTCGTAGATAAACATGGGCAGAGGTCTTCTTGCATTGTAGATAAAAGTTCAGGTTTCCCTTTGAAAATTTTGTCTTTTTTCTCTCTGGGGCTCGTTTGTCTCAGTGCAATAGAGATAACCACTTCATCTGTCTTGTCTTTTTAGGATGAAATATCTTTGGTCATGGACTTTTTCTTCCTCTGTGAATGTCTAGCTTCAGACTCCTGCACTGCTGCAGACTTCCTGTGTAGTCTTGGTCAAGTCACTTAAACTGTGTCCTGTTCCCTGTCTCTGCGGTACCTATTATAGTATGTCCTGTTTTACAGGGCTGGGGAAGGATAAATACATTAAATAGGGAGATACTCAGCTCTGTATAAGCACTCCAATAGCACAATGGGATCCAAATTTACATCAGAGCTCCCAGGTGCTGCTATGTCTGCTAATCTTTGCTTCCCATAGTGGCTGCAGTGCTGTATGAATTTCTGCTGGTGCCACAGAGCATTGTTATGGCTGCTCGTTTGAACTAACCATTTATATCCATTATCCATCCCCCTGATTTACACAAGAATCAGTGTGTTCCTCTGTCATCTCCTAGGAGTGTGTCTGCAGTTACTACAGCAATCAGTGTATTTTATATCCTCTTTCCCCATGCTGACGTGGTTAGCTGGTACCTAGTGTGCGTCCATTCTGCTGTGGAAGAAAACAAACCTTCATTCTGTGTTTTTAAGCAACAGGTAACCAGAGGCAGTTTATTCAAGCAATATTGCAAGGGAAGCCGGATTCGGACGGAGTGGGGGGGAGACTTCCCCCAGGCAGATCTTCCAATACAAACAGTTATGAAGTGGCTTATATACTTTCCCATTACATGTACCAACAGCTAACAGTCATCTCCCTGCCCACACAATTCCCTTCAGATGCTACCTTATCTCAAGGTTACTTGCTGGAGTCAGCATTCCATCCGTATCTCCGAAAGCAAGGCGAGAGGCGAAGGCAGCGTCTTATTACAGCTCTCATGTTGTCAAGAGTCAGAATTAGCCTGACTTTTGCTAACAAGACTAAGATGGCTGCATATGAATCCTCTTATTCCCTTTTTCCTGCCTCCACACTGCCATGGCCAGGCCTGTTCTGGTTCCCAGATGTTGGTTAATACTGTTATGCAGAAGGCTCTAGCAAGGCCTTCTTTCCCCTCCTTTTTGTGACTTTCCTGGACAGGGTTTACATATAATTTTGGAAAAGCATGAACTGAAAATATGCACTGGGCTAAATGCTGTTTCCAGGCCATTTTGCTTTACCATGCAGACATTCATGTCCCATATGTCCAGTGAACAGGTTTTTCCCATAAAGTTGTTTTCAGTTATCCAATGTTGCATTCTCAGGACTGAGTTTTGATAACTAGACACTGAACAGGATGGTTTGGAATAACATCTGACTCAAGATGCAATATTACTGACCCAGGTTCCAGAATACATCCTCTGCCATGTTCTCGGCCTGCAGTAATATGTGGCCTTCTTTACCAGAATGAAAGGGACGCTGATGAGGAGGCTTGAAGATTTGTGGAGCCATATCTGGGCAGTAAATTGATACAAATGTGAAGGCAAAAGTGCAGCAAGAGTCTCAAGAGGTACTGAAGGAGAAAGAAAAGGGGCTATAACCCTGGCATACTCTAGATACAGACAGACCTGAGCCCTGGGTCTCCCTCTGGCCCAGAACTAACAAGTGCCAGGGAAGGATGAAAATGGAGTCAGCAACACGCCCGTGCTCCATGACAGAGCCCAGCCAACTGTAA